TGCTCTAAAATTGCAGATCTATACAGGAAAGGAAGCAGGTTTACATCATATAATTTAGGACCACTTCTTCTAAAAAAAATACAAACATAAAAAAATAAGCTAGAGCTTTTAGCACAAATTGCAAATAAAGAAGTTCATAGTTCGTCTTTTTACTTCACGCAAGATACCATTGTTGTTAACTATATTACCAAAAATATTAAAAATGTTATTCTTTTGAGTACTTTGCATCTTGATAAGGCTATTAGTGACATAACTGACAAAAAGCCCCAAATTATTTTAGATTACAATTCCAGTAAGAGAGCAGTGAATACTCTAGATCAGCCTGTTGGTACATATACATGTAATAGTACAAACACTGGTAAAACCACTTATCCTTTTTCAGAAAAAAATTACAAAGAACTAAAGACTCACAAGAACTGGTAAAAAGAACACAAACAGAAGCGAGAAAAGACGATGGAAATTCTAGTGAACTGTCTATGGACAGTCCAACTTAGCCTGCTAAACAAGCACGCCGTAAATTTACCTGTAAAAACGATAATTTCGTAAAACCTTGTTTTTCGGTTAAAACCATCTTCTTAGTATTATGCTTTTTGTTTTATGTAAAACTATAAATTGGTTCATTTTAAGAAGCGAAATGACTTTAGGCCACCCACAATTTACGACTTTTCCTATTATTATCATTATCTTTTGTATTAATTTGTAATACGACGATGGTAGTTTTGGTGACTGATATCAAAGGAATATCATGTAGACATCCTAGAAGCACTGCATTTAAATAATGAGTAAAATTATCGACATGATCTAGGTTTTAATGAACAATGATAACAATAAAAAATCATAAAAAAAAACAAATGTAACTTAACCTAAGTGCGCAAATAACAAAGAAAACTACTAAAAAATGACTCAATACTTTGTATTGCCTCCCCTAGTCTCTTTAACTGCCTGTACACGTCGGCTCACGCTGTCTATGAGGTTGCGAATATCATCTTGCTGGATTTTTTGCCATTCCTAATCTAGGGTCGTGCAAAGTTAAGTAATTGAGGCTGGCGTGACTTCACTACCTCTAATATTACTACCAAGTATGTCCCGAACGTGCTCTATTGGATTCAGATCTGGCGAACAGGCTGGCCAGTTCATTTTATTAATGCCAACTTCCTCTAAATATTGTGTGAGATACAGTGCAGAGTGAGGTCGCGCATTATCTTGCATTAATAGACAATCACTGCCGATATATTGAGAAAAAAGTACTACGTGATTCACTAAAATTTCCTCAATATACCGGTGTGCAGTCAACGAACTCTTAATAAATACAAATTCAGTGTGCGCCTTTTGGGATATTCCTGTTCATACCATCACTGAACCCCTTCCATCGCTAACGTGGGGACTTAAAGCGCAATCTGCAAATCTCTATTCAGTTCGACGCCATACTCTTTTTCTCCCATCTGATAAGTGAAGACAGTATCTCGACTAATCCGTAAAAAGAACATTACTCCATTGTCCTAAATTCAAATGTAAATGTTCCCTGGAAAATTTTTAGTCTTACCACTATGTGCCGTGAAAGTAATTTCAGCCCAGTTGCTGGCCTGCAACTTTGCAAAACAAAAATTCGTGTAATCTTCGACAAACTGTAAATTCACTTACAAGATTTCCTCGAACCGTTTGAAGCTGATTTCTTGTTTGCACCACTGTTAAATGACGATCTCGCAAAGCGTTGAATCGTATAAAACGATCATCTAAAGCGGTCGTTTTGAGCTCCCTGCCACCGCTTTACGTTTGTTTGTTACAGTTTGTATAAAACGTTGCACTGCCCTTTGGATGGTAGAGGGATGTGTGTGTAGTACTGTAGCCACATATTTATAATTTCGCCCATCTTCAACCAGAGCAATGGCTTTTGCACAATCTTCGACACTAAGAACCATGATTAATTATAGGTAAACATAATTTAAGTGTCAATATCACATAATGACTTACTTCAAAATAATATTAATTAAAAAAGTCCCAAATTCTGGGTGGAAAATTCATTTGACTCTAAAAAATGAACCAAGGCATATTTTGACATGAAACAAACAAACAAACAAAAAACCCAATACTTGGACATGGTTGCAACCAAAAAATAAGGTTTTACAAAAATTCGCAGTTATTACACAGGATGTTTCAAAGTTAGGATAATAAAACCACGTTTTAATTAACCCCGTACAATAAGTCAAATATAATTTTTTAAAAACTGATTATACCAAAATAAAATTTATAAATTTATACACCGTTTGCTAATGTATATATATATATATATATATATATATATATATATATATATAGATATATATATATATATATATATATATATATGTATATATATAGATATATATATATATATATATAGATATATATATATATATATATATATATATATATATATATATGTATATATATATATATATATATATATATATATATATATATATATATATATATATATATATCGGAAAAAGGAGTACGACCGTCAATCCAATATATATATATATATATATATATATATATATATATATATATATATATATATATATATATATATATATATATATATATATATATAAGGATCACTCAGACGAGTGGTGGGTTCTTATATCGGTCTCTAGGTGGAGAAATAAAAGACAAAGTTGATAGGCTACTTTATCTATTTTGAAGACGTTTCGCTTTCGAGTTTTAAAAGCATCATCAGTTCATCTAAAAAATTTTACAATATGAGAACCACACAACCATGGAAACGATGTTAATTGTTACCTTAAAAAGACATGTAGCAGTCAATGTTATTAACAATAATGTGACACTACCATTCCTGTCATCCCATGAAATAAAAACTAAACCTTATAAAAGCTTTGAGCTACAGATTAAATAAATTGACACATCCAATTAATCGAAGGGAATCCTTTAAGTTATTGAGAAATATTCTAATAGAGAATTCATATCCTTCCTCTATCATCAATAAATACCTTTATTCACATAGTTATGGATCCTCAATTTATGACATACCCGATGGTGACCAACTTAGAAAGATCTCAAATAATTCAATAAATAGCACTGTTCTGCATAATACTGTTCTTGAGAATACTATCACACATTATTCTTCTTTACCTTATTTCCCTCAAGTTACTGAGAAGCTTATTAAATTGTATAAACAAAATAATATACCTGTTAAAATTGCTGTTAAGAATGCCAAAACTGTTAGAAATTTGTTCTCTAAAACTAAAACACCCTTGTCCACTTTGGAACAAGTGAACACAATTTATAAAATTCCATGCGCTAATTGCGATTTATGTTACATTGGTCAAACTGGTAGATCATTAAAAGGTCGTCTTACTTCACATCGTAGTGACATTAATTTATCGAAACACACTTGTGCCCTAGCACAACACGCGATAAATACAAAACATGAAGTGGATTTCAATGAAGTTAAGATCCTTGCCACTGAACGCAATCTAGCTAAAAGACAGTTTTTGGAAATGTGTTCAATATTAAAACACCCTAATGCTTTGAATAAGAGAACTGACATAAGTAACTTGAGCCAAATATATCATGCTTTAATTTTGCAGAATTAGGCTACTTGATCTTTTCACTACATTAATGTCATATTAGGTGTACTATTTGAACCTTTCTCCATTTTTCATAAAATAATTTATATACATAAAATAGAAATAAAATACATAAATATCTCAATAAAATAACTTAATATTCTTTACTTAATTTACTATTACATATGCAACTTACATTGCATTTCCATACACTGATTACTTTGATTAGTGTTAACAATTTTATACTGAAATAATACAAATATTGTAACTGATTCATAGAATCCTTTGCAAATCACAGTTCCAAGTATATTGAACCTTGGGGTGTTTGGAAATTAATGAATCGTTAACCACCTGTGGCTGTTTAACTAGCCATAATGATTAACGTTATTACATACTTATGAGGTTGAATGAAATTCTCCTGTTTGTAAATCTGGACTGATTAGTGAGGGGAGTTGCTATTACACTACCAACTTTTTTCACTGTGTTGTCTTTTACAACCGGGTAGTCATCCAAACTCATTTAAACTTAAATTGACCGCCCAAAATTTGGGTTGGTACCTACAACTCGTTGATCTGTCGAAAGTATTTGTGACCTCAAGGTTGGCTGTCTTTTCGCGGTTTAGTTCGTTCCTGTTTCATTTAACGCCATTTTCCCGGCGACATTCATAGGGCTTTGATCGGTAACTTCATTTACACTACTTCTTAAAATTTTATTAATATCACTTATAATGCTACCTAAAGTTAAAATCAAAGCTTAATATTCATTAAATAAATGGAAGTTATCTATGATTTTCTTGGTTCTTGCTCACTAATTAACATTAAATAACATCGAATTTACTTTAGACCACATGGTCATTTGCTGTGCTAATTTTTATAAGTTCATATATATTGTTAGTTACTTAACTGTTTATACAAAATCAGCGTATTATGTCCATTTACTTAGTTTCATTCACATTATTGTTAATAACATTGACTGCTACATGTCTTTTTAAGGTAACAAATAACATCGTTTCCATGATTGTGTGGTTCTCATATTGTAATTTTTTTTAGATGAACTGATGATGCTTTCAAAACTCGAAAGCGAAACGTCTTCAAAATAGATAAAGTAGCCTATCAACTTTGTCTTTTATTTCTCCACCTAGAGACCGATATAAGAACCCACCACTCGTCTGAGTGATCCTTATATATATATTGGATTGACGGTCGTACTCCTTTTTCCGATATATATATATATATATATATATATATATATATATATATATATATATATATATATATATATATATATATATATATATAGTTAGGTCAATAATTTAAAGTTGTTTTTATGTAATAAAATTTAAAATAATCTAATAGTGAATGAACGACTCAAAAATTTTTAATATTTGTGATTAATATACATAAATATATATGACACTGTTTATAAAATTACCTGACAAGTATCTTTGGATCCATCTTGTGCACCAGCACACACCTGTGACGTATCTATAATTCCATATGGCAGCTCATCTTTGGGAACTACACTGTACGCTTTAAGACACACGTCATTGGGTACATAATCCAGATCAACTTTTTGCAAGTCTTTGGCGATACTTCCATAATTGCTAGTTTTCCCCCAACCGGTAGCTATAAGCTGCACGCTGGCTAAGTCAGTAGAAGAAAACAGACATATGGGTTGTATATATTCGGTAAATTGCACAGGTCTGTCTAGTTGAAGAAGAGCAATGTCATCGTACTGGCGACCGTTGACATAGGTCGGGTAAGGAATTCTTCTAACTACATCGTAGTCGGCTGAGTCCAATGTTTCGGTTTGTAAAGTGGTGGTGCCCAAACGAACGTACCGAACAGCACCTCTAAAAATTTCATGGTAAACATTGTAATAATTATATTAAGAATAAACTAAACGAGCTTGAAAATAATCATATAAGTAACATATATCAGTACATAACTGCATTTTAGAGCATAATAAAGGTAGTTAACAATGTCTGTCATATGTGTAAGCAGACTTCTCAAGTTATTAAACTAAAAAATAATGGTTGGTAAACCACAGGTGAAGGTTAGTTTTATTGCTGTTGTACAATATTTCTTCAATATTTCTTTTTTAGACTTTCAATCTTACACTTTAAAGTGTTTCTCTTATGTTTGTAATTACTTTTTTATTCGTCATACAAACTATCCTTAATGATCTCTATTTTAACACATTCACGTTAAGTAGTTATGCTTTCTTTTTTCGATACTTGTACCAGTATTTTGTTTGGTTTTTATTTTTGTATTGTATTATTTTTTCATAATTTTGATGGCTCATTTAGTTATCACTATTTTTTATTTTCAGTGTGATGTTCATTAATTTAAAATTCTCGTAGAGATAATTCTATATTTAATTTCACTATAGCCTTCATCTAATGCAGTACTTGCTTATTTTCCTAGGTTTATACGATTTTTTAACTGATTACGTAAATCATTCTATTTTTGCCCAAATTTAGATAACTTTAAGCTTTATTGTGTAAAAATTATTTGTTTTTCTTGTTTAGTACTTGAGCAGCAAATTTTATATGTAATATCTCATTTCTTTTAAAATCTTGACAAACAAAGAAAGATTGATAAAAATGTATGTCTCAGATTATAAAAAACTAGATATTATATATCTTCCTCTTATGAATCTTTTTTCTCCAACTTAGGTTAAGTTCATTTTTGGAGCATTGTCCAGTGCCTCAGTCTATAAGGACTTAAGAATTTAGATATATTCAGCCATGATCGCTGGAGCTATTACATGGGTAATTTAGTTTCTAATTTTATTACAGTAATGAACAAACTAAAACTGATTCAACTTAAATTTTTTATTCAGTGTTTTGTATTACATATTATCGCTTTGAGGGCTTGACAGGAAGTGTTAATAATGGCGATGTGATTGTGCAAATACTTAACATACCGGTTACCTTGAAAGGCATACCATTTAAATAAATATTATAAATTACACTGAACATAAGCAAAAATAAATGCTAAATATTTTAAAACAGTTATCACCTCAGTTTGTCTATAGGAAGCGAACATTGTATTAATTGTTTTCTTGGTAAGACCAAGTAAGACACTTTGTAGCGCGGGGAGTAACCACTCCGGGTAAACCATCTGGATAAAGATGAACAGAATGAACATAACTCATCAATCAATGTAACGGCTGCTGTCCCTTATCCTTTATAAGGACTAAATCTTCCTTGGAGATTTAGTCCTTATAAAGGTCTAAAGTAAATATCTAAAAGTAAAGTAAAAGTAAAGTAAAGTCTAAAGTAAAAAAAGGAAAGATAAATTTTCGTAGTCAGGTAAATGAAAATTGCCAAGTTCTCGGGAAGATCTGCGTTGAGAAATTAAAACCAATGCTCAAGTCACTCCTTTTTTTTATCTTAACTGAGAAAATTGTTTGTCAAACTAATGAAGATTTTTTACATTTTTCTACAAGTTGCCAGACAAGATGTCGCTAGAATTCTCCGTACTTCCAAATCCCACCGTCAAAGAATGCCGGCAACATCACGACTTCCCATCCCAACCCACCCCGCTCAGCCCATTTCCGCGCATAACGTATCCGCGAATACCGTTAACGCGCATACTGAGAGTATAAAAGCAGATTATGTCATCAGGTGCCACCAATCACGCACCTCGATGTGCATCGCCCTTCCTTCTGGAACTTTTAATTAAATTTTATTGGATGAGAAACGAAAAAGTTTCATATAAAAGTTAAAATATCTTTAAATAAGGGACATTTTCAGATCTCGAGGTAGTGCGGTTTTACCTTTAGCGGGTAGACCTAGAGCCCCTTACTTGAAGGACTCTGCAAATTTTTCTAAGACTCTGAAGCTGAGTTTTTTTCTAACTCAGAATCCTGTGTTTTATTTCAACAAGTAAATAAACCTACAGGCATTGTCTTTTTCAAAACAATGCCACATATAAGAGCGTTTCGGACTAACATCGCAATATTGCGCAATGTTAGACAAATTAATAACTATGGAATTTGCACCAGGTTGCAGTCGACTTTTAAACGGGTTATTAATTACACCGAAGACGACAATTACACAGGGTAAGATCGATCATCACTCGACACTTAGGAGTAGGCAGATTTTGACCTCAGTACTGTTTGACGGTTCTTGTATTTCTACAAAACAAGATACTGGTACGTCATGAGTGAGGAGAGTAGGCAGATTAAGACTACAAACTCGAATGAAATCGTATGCATCTTTATAATGGTTGCTGAAACGTCGAGTTTTAAATTCTTAACACGGTTCTTCCCAAAATATATATTCCAAAGACCATCGTCATTAAAAATGCTTACAAATCTGCTTGCAAAGTCTTCGAAATGAATAAAGTTTCCCGGGATAGATGTCTGTAAGGTCACCATACTAGATTTGATTTCATTGAGTATCCCATAAAGAAATGGGCAGGAAAGATTGGGGACAGGTCGGAAGGATTAGAGAATATAATAGTCAAGGGGCGAGTGTTAAGTATACCTTATATCTGAAGAAGAACAGTATTAAAATGTTCATAAGTAAGATGTGAATTTGAAATAACTCTTTTCAAATGATATTTCATCGACTTAACAGCATAAATATCTCCGAAATGAGGTGAATATACTGATATAAATTACCAATTTATTTGACTACTTGCACAAACATCTGATGTATTAGATTAATTGATCTAACCTAAAGCCTTTCATGCATAAAGTTACCCAAGTCCTTTAATTCATTATAAGATCCTATAAAATTTGTACCATTGTCAGACAAAATCTGAACTGGTTTCCTACGTCTAGATATAAAACGTTTTAAGGTAGATATAAAATATTAAGCAGTAAGATCGATTACTAGTTCCAAGTGAAGTGCTTTGGTAAAAAGACAGATAAATAAACTTATGTGTGCTTTATAATATGAGAGATTACGATCGTTTATCATATAAGTATGGAGCTTTTACACGGGAATGCTCCTCTACACTTTAGTTTCCAGTTTATAGTAATAATGGAAAAACTAAAACTAAATTAACTTAAATTCTTTTCTTAGCTCTTTTATTGTATATTTATATGCATATACAAATATTTATATACATGTTGTAGCTTTAGAGCTTAACAGGAAGTGTGAAAAATGACGCTATGACAGTACGTACACGAATGACATAAACAGTGGCGTATCAATATATTTTTACAAATACTTAACAATCGCTGTGTCATCCGCATATCTGATGCTATTTATAGTTTTTCCTCCAATTCAAACTGCACTTTTTGTTTTTCTAAATCTTCGTCTTTGATTATTTCCGACTATAGATTAAACAAAATTAAAAACAATACACAATCTTGTTTGACCCCTCTTTAAATAAAAGCTTTGTTGGTAATGATGTCGCCTACTCGAATAGAGATTTTATATCTCCAATATAAATTTTATACAAGCCGTAGATCCTGATTATCTATTGCCATCATATATCATAGATACAAACGGTAAACAAGATACCATATTGGACTTTTAATAATCCATAAGCATATTGGATTTTTGGAGTAATGTTAACATTGAACTGTCACTTCCTTCGTTTCAAATATTTGTTCAAAAAATGTGTCAAACCATCAGATGTTAGTAGCTATGAAGTTTGTTACTTCACCTTATTTTTAATTTAAATAAGTTTATTCACAGATGGATTCATAGATCTCTATTATCTCTATTATATTATCTCTATATCATATTAGACTGGCCGATAGAAATGAAACAAGACACTATTTCGCCAATTTTTGCGAAGAATATAATCTATGTATAAAAAAAATATGTTTTAAACTATCTAAACGAAGATTTTATGCGTGAAAATGTTTAGCAGTTATCCGTCGTAATATATTAAGAAACCAAATTGACTATATAATCATCAATGACGTTACAGAAATACAGAAAATCTGTAAAGACTTTTCCTGGTAATGGTATTTAATGCAATTACCTAAAAATTACTTACAGTGATGGTGCTGTTAAGCAATGCGCTGCAGTAAGAATATAATTCTCACTTATCAAACTGCCTCCACATAACCATTGGTTATCCGATTTTACTCCATATCCTAAAGCAGCCTTAAACAGTATGAATAATTACAATATTCAAAGTTTTTACTGGTAAACTTACCATATGTGGAAACTCTTTTTGTCTGCTACTCTGTCCTCCGATTATAAAGACCGTTACTTGAGATTTTCTAGCACTTCTTCTGCTAGAGGAGTATTCGATACATTCTAAAACGGGCAATGTCAATCAAAAATATTGACTTTTAGCTTAAAAGTATTTGTGTATTAGTACTTACTTTCTTGAGATATCCTATTTAGCGGCTGAGGAACAACTGGGCTGGTAATAAAGGGAGATAACGTTGAGCTCCACCCTGTATTAAGATTTGGATCAGATAGATCAATGTTAATATTATTTAAAGAAGAAGCATGTGTGTCTGTGGATGATACTAAGCTAGCAGAAGTAGCACTAACTATTTCTACAACGTCGGATCCAACGTCAGTCGCTGGTGATACGCTAACAATATAATTAGGCATAGATGTGATGTTAAGGTCAAACTTGATCACAGCTGGTAGTTCTACTTGAAAAATTGAAGCAGTACCGCTGGGATTTACTACAAGTACTTGGTTGGCTAATTGTGGTGGTTTAAAGGTATAGTTGCAGTCAAGACCGAGAGGTCTAAGTGTGGAAGGGTTTTCGCAAGGACTAGCTGTTGATGTACTGCTAAGAGGAGACTCGGTCGATATTAAAGGTTCTGGACTAGGTCTAGGTGTTATGATAGCAGAAGTGAATGGTGTATCAGTTAAAGACAAAGTAGTACTGTTTCGTGCATTTCTGGTAGAGTTAAGAAGAACAGATGTAAAAGGAGTCTGGGTTGTTGCAGTTGTGTTTAAAATAATAGTAGAAGACAACTTAGTATCTAAAGTAGTAGTAGGAGTGGTACTGGTAACAGAAGCGGGACCAGTAGTAGTAACTAGACTAGGAGTAGTCAAAAGAGCAGTAGAAGCGGATGTCGTATTTGTAACGGCTAAACTGGAAGCAGCAGTTGAAGAAACAGTAGAAGTACTGCTTGGAAGTAAAGATGAAGTTTGAACAGGTTCAGTTGTGGGAATGGAAGCGGGATAATTAGTTTTGACAGTTGAAACCACAGGAGAAGGTACATACGGGACTGGGGTTATCATATACTGTGGATCGATAATAAATACATCAGGCAAAGCATTTGTTGATACTGCACTAGCAGTAGTAAGTGGGGGAATAGTAACCGGAGGATTGACAGCATAATTAATCATCCAGTCAGGATTTATAATAAGTGTTTCTGGTATTGGTTGTAATTGATTTGGTGTATTTGGAGCCTTAAAGTTAGCAACAGTAGGTGCAGGTGATATAATAATATTGTTTACAGTACCAATGGTAGTTGGCGGCTGCGTTGATATTTGAGTGACAACTGGCGGTGCAGGCGTTACTACTGGTTGTACTGGCTGGGATGTCTGTACTGGTTGTACTGATGATGGTGTAATGATTAATCCGTTGTTAGAATAGAATGGTACTGGCCATGCTTGGGGATTCTGAATTGAGTCAGTTCCTCCTCCTTGGGGCGTCATTATTCGACGTACTGAAAATAAGTTTTGAGAAACAAATACAAACTATACAATTAATATAAGAGTAATCGTTTTAGAATTTGTTTTTATTTAAATACATATAGGTACCTTGCATTTTTTTGCTGGTTAGCATATCCATGATAAAATGCATTAACAGGCTGGTAAAAGTCAAAAAATTTAAAATATTTGCGGAAAGATTTAATAGGTATAAAAATTTGATTAAAAATTCAATTTGAGATTATATTAAAAAAAAGATAATAGTCAATAGTATATTTAAAGCAAACGTATTAGCAATCATTGGAAAAGTTTATTAGTCAAATTATAAATATTAATCAAATATAACCAAATTATAAAAATTATAATAGACTAAAAGAAGACGCGTTCTTATCGGTACATTTTAGACATTTTAAATAAATTTTTTGGCCTTCACAAAGGATGTAATTTTGCAAACAAGTGAAAAAAACTACGCGAGATACAGGAGTACAGAGGCTAGTCAAAGCAGCGAAGGGAATAATAGTTATACCTAAATAAAACCAAAACAAAATGTATCGAATACACGGATGGCAAGTTCAGAAATAAAGAAAAGTTAAAAGTACAAGTAGTAGAAGGAGAGTCATACGAATTGAAAAAAAAATAAAAGGATCATATATAATGAATATTGGTGTACAAGCGCAAAATGGTATGTTAAAAAGCAAGTACCGTAATTTCGGGTGACTTTGGCCACCAGGGTGACTTTGGCTCATTTTGGGAAAAAGATATTTTAGTAACTAGGGCGTTTGTACAATATATTGTTACGTAAAAATGAGTCATATTAAAAACCTGTAAACATGTTGTTTATGCACTAATATGTTCTAGATTTTACGACCCTTCGACTAGCTGGCAGAAATTCCAAGTAATAAAAACCGGTCCCAAGAAGAGGTTAAATATGCGATATGGCCACGAACACTTGAAGCATGTATATCAATCGCAGCTTAAAAATCGAATACAAAAGAAAGATGAGGCTCTTCAAGAATATGAGGTAGATATTGCCAGATTAGTACGATATGCTTATCCAACAGCTCCCGAAGACATGATGGAACGAATAGGTTAGCCATTCAAACGTTTATTGATAGTCTTCGTGATCATAAAATGCCGAGAACATTACGATTAGCTCGCCATAAGATGCTGGTTGATGTCTTATCCGCCGCCCTTAAATACGAGTCAGCTACGCAGGCCTCTGGTGGATACAGTAAAGTTAGGACTGTAAAAGAGAAAGGAGATGAAGATAAACTTCATCATAAACCAGCTCGTTAATATGATGAAAAGCATGACACACAAGAAAACGAAGACTATAAGACCGAAGACAAAACCAGAACGGATCGGCCTTAGGGGAGCAGCTTTAACCCGGAACTTTTCCAAAGACCCTCTCATACTAATAGCTTCTTTGAAATGTCGTAAAGATAGTGTATATGTAGATGGAGTAATAAATGGTAAAAGGCATACATTGTTGGTGGATACCAGAGCGACCAGAACCATTATACGCCCGACAGTAATAAACAGCCAAAAAAAAACTGTTACCAACGAGGTTGCGATTTCGGACCGCTACAGGTGAAAATGCCAACATTCATGGAGAAAACCAGGTACAATTAGGAATTGGAGCAGAAAAGTTCGTTCATATTGTTATAGTTGCTGACATCGAAGAGGATGTTTTATTAGGAATGGGCGTAATGGATACGCATGGATTCCTATTGGATTTCAAGAATAAGGTAATCAAAGTTGGTAACGAGGAGGTATTTTTTCATCCACGTGGTGACAACACTATGCAAGCAGCCGTTAAAGAAGATACAGTCGTGCCTGCGAGAAGCCTGCTACTATGAAACGATCATAGTAGCACAGCTACAAGGAATTGTGGATAAAGGATGTTATGTTATGTTACAGGCTGTTATGATGGAGCCTTGGAACCATGACGACGAGGTTGGCCGATGAATCATAATTGGAAAAGAATTGGTGACTTCAGCTAAAGAAATACCTGTGAGACTTATCAATGTCAATGACTATCCAGTGATCACCAAGAAAGAGACAAAAGTAGAAACTTGTATACCTGTGACATCCATAATCCGTCAGACGACAACATCTGATAATTCCAACGACAAATTTGACCAAATGGTTGAAGTTGCTGGACAGTCTCTAAATCAGATTGAAAAAAAGGGAAATAAGGGAATTTCTTCGACAGTATCGTGATATTTTCGTACCGAAAGGAGGAAAGACGGAAATAACTACCGTTGTTAAGCATAAAATTGATACTGGTAATGCTAAGCCAATTCGTCAAACAGCTCGACGATTACCACAGGCGAAGGAGAGAAAGCTGAAACGATTGTTCAGGAAATGAAGAAAGACGGGGTGATAGAACCCTCTACGAGCCCATGGTGTCTCTCCGGTGGTTCTGGTTAAGAAGAAAGACGGAGGTACTGTGTAGATTACCGTTTGCTAAACAACGTTACTAAGAAGGATAGTTATCCTCTGTCGCGGATCAATGACACATTGGACACATTGGATGGAAGTAAATTGTTTTCTACTTTGGATTTGAAGCCTGGATATTGGCATGTAGAAATAAACCCAGTAGATAAAGAAAAGACAGTCTTATGGAAGTGCCAGCTATTTCAAGGTAAAGTCAGTTATTTGAGTCATATAGTCAGTAAAGAGGAAGTGACCGTGGATAAGGGAAAAATCGATTCTATTCAGGAATGGCCAGAACCAACTGACAAACATCAAGTGAGAAGTTTTCTTGGACTATGTACTTGCTCACGGAGGAAGCAAGAGATTACCGCTGGGATACAGACTGTCAAAATGCTTTTGAAACCTTAAAAAAGCATGTAATTACAGCACCAATTCAGGGTATTAATTTTAGGGTATCTACAAGAGTTTCCATTCGAGTTGAAGACTTTGTAATTGTATTCGACTACTTGGACAGCTTTCCACTAAAATTCGATGGAATTGTAAGAGGTAGTAATAACTGTTACGGTTGGGTGCAAGTAATGGTACTTGCACTGAACTGTAAGTCACTGTACTGTAAGTGACAGAAGTTTATGGCAATGACTTGAAGTCGCCGTAAGAAAATCCTACCACTTCGTAGGATTTACAGGGTAATTATTGGGTAATATTGATTTCACAGAGCTATTGGAACTTGAAGATAATCGATATTTCTTTCCAGATTAAAAAAAAGCTTGTAAATCCTTTTTTTGTTCATTTTTTTGTTAATAAATTATATTTTTTGTGAACTTAGGGACCTATATAAAGTTTTATATTTAAATATATATTGTTTATACCTGTTTAGCAAATTAACAAAATGTTTATCTCTGATTTATCTTGTAGGGCGACTTTAGTCTAAACAATAATAATCACAGAGAATAAATGTAAAATGTAGCGTGAGATAAAGTCACCCGCCAAAGTCACAGTGAAAGCAAGTGACTTTGCACACCACATGTTTATTTTTTTTTTTTTAAATAAAATAAGTGCTTCTTTGTGTTTTAGTGTAATTTTTGCAGAAAATTAGTCAAAATCTTAAATACAAACAAATAAAGAAACATTAAATATTCAAAATACCTAAATCTACATTAAAACTTCGAAAGTGACTCAAAGTCACCCGAAATTACGGTACATATTTATCAAAGAAGGCAAAAATATGGCTATACAGAAAAAGGGTACAAACAATCGAAGTATACTACGGTTAATTTTTTTTACATCATACATATTTAAAATATATCATGAGTTACGTAGACAGAAACTAAATGGTGAAAAGCAGGAAAATGATCAAAAAAATAATTTTATTGTAAGTGATACTAATGTGACAAAATTGCTTGGTTAAGTGATAACTCTATTTAAGGCGCTACAATTTTTCGTTTTTGAAACGTTTTTACCTTATAATAGTTTTTAATATTATTTATGTAATTTTCATTAATTGCATGTACGATATCCCTATTTATACCTACTACGAAGTCAAGTAAAGCTAAATGAATAATTCAAAATTTTAGAAAGCTTTTTTGATTACATAAAACAGCTGATTATAATTTTTTTGTGTTACAAAATGTGCCTCTTTTAATTACTCTATCTTTTCACTTTGAAGATGGCGTTATAATTTTAATTCTGCATAAATTTAAGTACGTTCTTCAGCAATAAAATCTGCTTTATATTAAAATGTAAGGAGCATTTTACTTTAGATGAAACTAAAAATAAATATGAAGTTATACGTTTTCTTTGTCGTTTACAATTTTCGTTTATATCTTAGTAGACATTACGAAGATAAAAAATTGGTAATGGGTATAGTATTTTTCAAATTTTAGAAATAAAATAAATACAATCTATTAGGAAACAGGTGTTTGACTTATAATCGATAAAAAAGTTGACATTTAAATAGGTAGAAGTACAGATTTATATTTACGTATTAAACAGATCACGCCAATTCAAAAATTAACACGTTTAACGCCACGAATAGCAAGTGTGCATTTTCTACAATGAATTTTCTTAAGCCACGAAAAGCACGGTGCATCGTATACCCTTAGTGCGTGCGTGATATAATCATGCTTCACAATATCCATTTATTTATTTGTAATAAATTTTCTCAGTAGCCTGATGTGTAACGAAATATATTTTGCCCACAATATAGGGTATTATTATAGGGGGCTGAAAATTGGGGACAGAAACTATTGAGCTAGAGATAGGGCAATCAAAATAAATTAGTCTTATGCGAACGGCAGTCAGGGCTTAATTGGAGGGCTGGGGTCATGGATAACTGAACGGCAAGAGGGTTGGATTGAGGCAACTACAAAAAATGAAACAAAGGGGTACTTTTATGAATCTCCTGGTCAAATGGGCAAATAAAACACAGAAAGGATCTCTAGGAATTTAAAATGGACGCCACTTCGAGGTGCCAAATTACAACTATTACAACAACTAACAAATTAGAAATGAAAAATATTAATTTTTTTATCTTTTATTTTATCTAAAAACTCTCCTGCCAAATAAAGATCGAAGATTTCTCAGATAATTTAACATAATTAAACTAGTCTGAAGACTGAAGACAATAAAGAAAAAGTCTAGACCTAACTACGACATGACAACCCTGCAACATCCGGAAGTTAAAAGGCAAGTGGGGGA